AGAGCGGTTTAACACTTTTTGTAACAAAATAGGACAGGTGATTTTATATAATTCATTAAATTTGCACCAGCGATAGCAAATTAATAAACAACATTATAACCAAATAATAGCATGAAGGGGTAATTGCATTTTAAAACACAACTTGTCAACTGACACACTTTCGACACTCTTAAGTGCCTAAAAAATCACGTAACCAAACCTTGATCCACCTCTTAACAGAAGACCGCAATTTGATCTTTCCTCTCACTAGAAATTATGTTTTTAAAGTAAAAGCAATACCCAAAGTATATGTTCATAGGGTGGGCAAACCAGCAACGCATTGGCATTTAAGAAGAGAAAAGCAGATGGAAAAACAAATATCCAAATCAAAACAGAATTACGTCATCTCTTGGCATGGCTTGGGCACCCATTCAAACACAACCTTAAAGCCCATTAAAAGAGATTCACTTAAAGAACCACCAGCCATTACCAATACAACATTTAGTATCCTGATAAATTAAGATGAATGCTGTAACATACATTAATCAAATATTTTGAAAAAGCAACCCATGCATTGAAAAAAAAAAACTCTTCCTTTTAAGGTCCGATAATATGAAAAAAAATAAGGCTTGATTTAGTCAAATTATTAAGAGTGAATATATTAATCGATAGTAGAAATACCTTCAGGGTTCCTTTGCAGTGATTGCACTTGAAGCAGGACTTGTGGTAGGTCACGCCATCCGCCATCAACTGATCCATAAGGTATACGGTCTTCTCGCAGACCTTGCACTTCTGCTGCGTTCCAAGGAAAGCCATTCCCACCGGATCAAACGACTATCCGTCTACTTCCCACAATCGCAAACTCTATCACCGTCAAACGATATTCTCCAGCAGATCCGGAAAGGGAGAACAAAATCTAACCTGCTTCCAGAATTCAACTGCACCGTGGAAAATTTCCCAAAAGGAGAAATTAGAATAAAAACAAAACTAGATAGAAATCAGCAGAGAAGTAAGGCACACGATCGAATCAAACCTGAGACCTCGCCGGAGGCTATTTCCCTCGATCGAGATCTATCTACAAGAACTTCGGTTGCTTTTTGCCGCAAAAATACACAGCAAATAAAAAGAAGGAATATTTACGTGAATATCACTCAACTTTTATGTATTTACATTTCCAGCATCTAAGTTTTAGTATTTTACCCATATTATTTTTATTTATGCAAGAAAAATATATATTTTTTAAAAATGTAAAAATAATAATATTTATATATTATATAAAAGATTTGAATTGATATAATTATTAGAAATAAATTTTAGAGCTTAAATATATAAAAACATAAAAAGTAGGTGGTATTATGTAAAATGCCCCTAAAGGAACTTTGTCTGATCTAAAGGAGAAATAGGGCGGAGAAGGGACGTGATAATGGCCGCCTGTAGACGGAGAACTTCATGCTGACAATTGGACCCAAAACATTAAAGCTTCTCACGATCGCGTGGGCGCCATGCCAATTTGCCCGTTCATCGGCACACATATTTTCGTGTAAGCTGAGGTGGGTGCAGCTATTATTGATGAAGAGAATGTGCCGTCCGAAGAGAACAAGTGAAAATTTATTGTAATTAATTGGCCAGTCAAATGTCGAGTTTCTGGACATAAAAACAATAGTATTTAGTCATATTACGTTATTGGTTAACTAGCAACCTAAATTAAGACTGAATAGATGAACAACCAGCAATAAATTACAATTCTTTGGGTGCCTTGTGTCTCTCCACACACACACACACACACGTGTGTGTGTGTGTGTGTGTGTGTGTGTGTGTGTATTATTTTTTTATATAAAATTAAAGAATGACATATGTAATGACGTAAGGATCTATATGTAAACAAAGTATCTATTTACATAAGCTCGAATAATGACCCCTTCTCATAATAAGAATGTAAATAATCTTATTCCAGCCTGGTCCGGTCTGAAATGACACCTCTACCAAGAGATCACGGTTGGCCCCACGTGTGCACGCCCACATGCACAAATATATATATATATTATATATATATATATATATATATAGATTAAAAGAGCAATCCGTGTCTCCTTAGCTTTAATAATTAAAAGATTACAGATTTGGGGAGGGATAGTGGATCCTCGTCTAAAACAAAACAAAAACATCAGTCCTAGGGGCTCCACTGTCCACAGTACAACTTCACGCGAAAAGCAAAAATACATGTAAAAGCACAAAACATATACGAAAAGAAAATGTATTCCCAAAATTTACATGTATACCAATCCTCATGTAAACATTAATTATGAAGTAACAATTTGAAGTAGAGTGTGCAATCTCCAGCATAAGCGGCAACAAGGTCGAATCAATCTTGCATTCAGTGAACAAGATAATATATGCATATTCAAAGTACGACTGCGTCCTGCATAATTTACACTTAGGAAGGAAAATAGAATAAGTTTTCATATAGATCTTGAGAGAACAGATCATAGTCTCCCATAATTCAGAAAAACAAAAATGCAACACAAATGAGAGCATCGAAGCATTCCTGTATTTTCCAACCTCCATTCTATCAATGGAAGGCAGAATTAGGCAAAGGCATCTGTCCTCGAAATCTCCAAAACAGCAACAAGTCAAATTAGTAAAGAGATTAGAAACAACAACATCACTAATCCATCTGAAAGATAAAACCCAGACATATAAAACCCAATTCAGCACAAAATCTAGCAAACATAAACTTTGCGATAAGTGTCCTTGAGAGTCCTTCCAAGCCTCAATGAAGTAGACTAAAACAGTTCCACCAGAGACAAAATCCAACAACCAAATGATCCAAATAATAATTCCCGCAGGAGGCACTACCCTGGAGATGTAGCCAAATCTAACTAAAGAAAGCCCCACAACGTAAAATAATCTGGAGATACGAAACAACTGACCAAAACAAAGTTAAAGCCAGTTCCAACAAACCAAAACCCGACGCAGTAAATCTAATGAATAAAAGCACAGTCCAAAAAATGATGGGGCATTAAAAGATCCCGCACAAAAACTATAAAATAGAGAATTCAGTAGTAAAGCTTAGACCAAAACAAATAGACTGCATCCATCCAAGTATCCAAAAAAAGCTGCTGTACAAGGAAACCATGAGCCAATGCAACCAAAGCAAGCTTAATATCTAACATATGGAGCATCCAAATCATCACTTATGAGAGTATGTAACATGTGTGGGGGAGTAAGCCCCACAATAGCACTCTGAACACGCCATTTAGCCAACCAATCCGCAGGTTTATTCCCTTCTCTATAAGTAAAAGTAAAACTAATATTAAGTTGTTACCGCTCTATTTTCTATCAAATCCTTCTTATCAAGGATATAATATGCCAAGCGGGTTTAAGATTAGTCACTAAAATGTTAAACAAAGTTTCAGAATCTATTTCTAAAATAATATCATTAGTGTTGAGTGACACAACAATTTGGAGTGCAACAAGCACAACATTAGCCTCAATCTCTAGAGAAGAATTGACGATAGAAGGGGAGGCAAAATAAGCAATACATTTACCATGATCATCACGAATCAGCCCACCCATACCCGTATAATCAGAAGAATAGCTCCCATCTATATTAAATTTAATCCAACCGTGGGTGGGGGGTTCCCATTTAATCAAAATAGGCATCCTACCCCTTCCCATAGTAGTAGGAGCAACACAAGAAATCCTCCAAGCTTTTTGTAAATAAGCCACAGCTAAAGTAGAAGTTATAGAAGGAGTATGACACTGTGTTTCATATTGATGATTATTCCTTGCCATCCAAATGAACCATAAAATAATAACAGGAAAATAATAGTGTTTCTTGAAGTTAGGGTTGAAATCCTTCCAAATACTAATAACAGTTTTAAGTGTCAAGCTTATGGGCCAGGTAATACCAAAGTAGCAGTAATACCAAAGTAGCAACCACCAAAGTAGCAACCAATGTGATGCCAAACCTCTTTAGCAAAGGGGCAATCAAAAAAATAAATGCTTAAATGATTCAACACCTTTTTGCATGTATAACAATAAGAAGCTAGTTTCAAGCCTTTCATTTTCAAAATATCATCAAGAGGAAGCAGCTTATGAATGTTTCTCCAAATAAAAAAAGATATAGAAGGAGAGATGTATTTGTGTCGAGTGTAAGGATGCCATTTCCAAGGTGTAAAAGAATGCAATTTCGGATAAAACAGTTTAGTAATAGAGGACCTAGTATTATGTTTCCATAGAGGGACATCCTTATATTGATCAAATATAAGTATAGTAGCAATGACATGATCAGCATTACCCACTTATTAATTTAGCTTTGTTAAATTCCAACCCCCATCAATCCAACAATCTGAGACCATCAACTTAGCATCATAACTCTTAGTAGTCATAGTAGAAAATTTTGAAATGCCCCAATCATCATTCCAAAAAGATATACTATCATCCCCAAGTTCCAAAAAAATAAAGTAAGAAGCAACCTCACGTGAAGAAATAATGACTTTCCAAAGCTTAGAATCCCCCACTCTCCACTTAACCATGGAAGGATGCACATTTTTACAATATTTATGCAGCATATATTTAGCCCATAAAGAGTCCCCCAAACAAAATTTGAACCAAAGTTTGCACATGTTAATATCAATAATATGTTGCAGAGTTTTAAAACCAAGCCCACCAGCATAAAGAGGCTTGCAATTATACTGTCAATTAGTCCAACTCTTAGAGGATCTTGAGCCCTTTCAAAGAAATTTATTAAAGATAGTTTCAAGATTCATTTAAGTGCTTTTTTTAGTTTTGAGAACTTGCATAGTGTAGAGAGGGAGTGTACATAGGACACTTCTCAACAGAGTGAACCTACCCCCATTAGAGAGAAAATTATTTTTCTAATCATTTATCTTTAGTTTTACTTTATCAATCACCTCATCCATCTGAGTTTATTTGGTTCTGCCTCTAAGAATGTTGAACCCAAGGTACTTAATAGGAAGCTTTGAGATTTTACAGCCAGTGTAATTAGAAGCCCAAACATGAGCATTAGAAGGGACACCCTTGCCAAAATAATGGAGCATTTTGCCAAGTTGAACATCATTCCAAATGTGTTTTGAAAGTCTATCAACAAAGACACTGTAGCTTTGATAGCACGTTTGCTAGCATTTAAGAACAAAATAACATCGTCTGCATAAGCAAGATGACTCACCAAAATTTTGGACTTGTGAGAATATTGTATGTAAGCATGATCATAATGCAACTTATTAATAAGCCTAGAGAGATAAACAAAAGCAATGATAAAAATAGTGGGTGAGAGGGGGTCACCTTGTTTAATGCCCCTGTTATCATTAACAAAACCACGAGCTCTACCATTAACCATCACACTGTAGCTATTGTTAGAGAGCCACCTCTGAATAAGAGACCAAAAGTCTTGTTGGAAGCCTTTAGCCTGCAAAATATTTATAATAAAGTCCCAACTTATAGTATCAAAAGCTTTCTTAATGTCCAATATGAGGACCAGGTTTCCACCCCTGCATTTTTTGTTCAAATCTTCAATAATCTCCTTTGCAAAAAGGATGTTATCAGTAATATCCCTACCCTTGATAAAGGCAGACTGCTGAGCAACAATGATTTTAGAAAGATAAAGTTGCAATCTGTTCACTATAACTTTACTCATAACTTTAGATATCACAGTGGTTAGAGAAAAAAGACAAAAATTGTCCTAGGATATCTTATCATTACCTTTAAGGATAAGAATAATCAAAGCAGAGGTGAAATATTTACCAGGATTGTCTCCAAGGAAGAAGCTTTGTATAGCAAGAATTACCTCCTTTTTAATAATCTCCAAAGAATGTATATAGAAAGCCGAAGTGAAACCACCTGGTTCAGGAGCTTTCTTAGGGCATATACATTTAAAAGCCTTAAGGATTTCATGCTCATCTGGAAGATAAGTTAAATTTAGATTATTACTATAATTGTACTCATCCACAAAGTGAGTGTGGTCAACAGGCATAGTGGAATTCGAGGATTGAAACAGCTCAGAGAAATAAGTGACAGCATTATCTCCAATTTCTTCCATATAGGTTAAGGTACTCCCATCACCCTTTTTTTATTTTCAAAATACTATTAATCTTTCTTCTATGCT